GAGTTGCTTCTCATCACGTGTAAAATAGCCCCTCGTCCATCCCCAGCTTCCCCGGTTGCGTCTCAGTGCTGAGCTTAGAACGTGTTTTCTTCGGGATCCGTCGCTTGATTGGGGTTTGTCCTCGTGTCCTCCTTCCCCGTGGGCTTGAGCACCCACCAGTAAAACGTGTGATTTGGCCTTTTTTCTTTTTTTTTTTTTTTTTGTCCCAAACCATCGAGTGGAACAATCCAACCCCGTCCTCTTCCCGGTTTACTCGGATGAAAAAAAAAAATAAAAGTATAATTTTTACCTGCTGATTGTGCTGCCTTTTGGCTGCGGTCGCTTTTCCTGCTTCCCCGGGGCAGGGTGGGGATTTTGGGGGCTTAGGGGAGGCTGCCAGAGCTGGGTCATCCTCTGGCCTGGCTGCCCTGGGAGTGGGAAGCGCCGACATCCCTGGGGATCCACCTGGGATGCAGCTCCTTGGCTGGTCCCTGCTGCCGCCTGGTTCCACAGAGCCCTGGGAATTCAGCCTCTCCAGGGGGGGATTTTCAGCAGCTACAGTGTTTAGCAGTGAGGGAAAAAAAAATCGGGAAGGTGTGTGGAGGAGGAGGAGGGCGTTATTTGGGAACAGCAGCAGCCAAAAAAACCAAGGGAAATGAAGCAGCTCCGTGTGTGTGGCACCGAAGGCAGAGGATGGGGTGGCACTCCAGGAGCACCAGGCTGGAAGGTGAGTTTGGAGCAGTCCTGCTGTGCCTTTGCCATGGCCAATTTTCCTTCCTTCTCCATAGGATGGGCCCGTTCCCAGCTGCAAACGGGGGTCACCTCACAGCGAGCACCCCCGTGAGCTGGGAAGTTCGGGAAGGAAGGAGCAGGGACTGAGCAACAACTCCCAGGCAGGGCTGGCATCGGGCCCCCAGGGCTGAGCTGGGTCTGCCCGCCGGCGTTTATCCCTTTATTTCCCTGCTGGAAAGCGGCTCCATCAGCTCCGGCATCATCTCTCCATCCTGAGCGAGCCGTGCTGGGCTGGGAGGGGAGGGCGCAGCTGGATCCCAGAATCCCTGTCTGAGCCACCGCAGGGAGCCCGGCAGCCCCTTCCCAGCGCCTTCCTCCCCGTCCCTCGCCATGCTGGACATTTTCATCCTGATGTTCTTCGCCATCATCGGCCTCGTGATCCTCTCCTACATCATTTACATGCTCTAGGGAGGCGCCGGGGGGGGGAGATGCGGCTCAGCACCAGCCTGGCAGCCCGAGCGCCATCCAGGTGAGCTCCTCGTCCCAGTTCCTGGGAGGAACGGGCTCGGGGAAGGGGGAGAGGGGTCGGGTTGGGGTTAATTCCGTTCTCTTCGGCTGCCTGGGCTGGAAGGAGGGCACGGGGAGGGGGTGATTTTATAAACCAGGCCACTCGTCCCCGGCCATTCCATTGTGCGGCCGCTGGTTTCTCCCCGCGGGATTCGCCGGCCCCTTCCCACCTGGAAAAGCCGCTGTGAGCAGCACGAGCTCGCGGCTTTTGTTCCCGAGAGGGAGAGGAACGAAGCAGGGAGGAGGGATCCCGGCTGCGTCATCGCCGGGGAGGCAAAGGGGGGTTCCCCGGCGCGAAGGGGGGGCTGGGGCTGCTCCCGGTGCTCCCACATCCCGCTGCCTCCACCATCCCGGTGTCCCCCACAGCTCCAGGCCCAGCTCAGACCAGCCTGTCCTTTCTCTTCCGCAGCCTCTGCCTGGTCCGTGTCCCTCGGAGCCTTCTGGAAGGGCGTTAACCCCTGCGAGCCCAGCGCGGAGCACGGAGGGGCCGGGGAGGAGGGAATGGGGAGGGGGCTGCGAGGGGACACCCCCCTGCCGGGACCTGGGTTGTCCCGGGGGGACAGGAAGGGTCCTGTCCCCCCCTTGGGATGAGCCTGTCTGAAGCTGGTCATCTGGGTTTCATTTTAGGAGAGCACTTCTATTTTTAATGAAAAAAAAAAAAGTGGGATGAAACGGAATAAAGAGGAATGGCACGGGAGAGGGGATGTGGCTGCTGGTGTTGAATGCTGGAAGGCACCCCCTGCATCCACGGGGATGGGGGGCACGTGGCTCCCTGGGGCAAATCCAGCCTCTGTGGAGAGATCCACGAGCCCTGGGAATGGTGAGAGATTGGAAAACCGGGATGAGGCACCTCCGTGTCCCCCAGCACGAGCGGCAGCCCCTGGGGAGGGGTCTCTGATCCAGGTGGGGGGGTCCCAACCAGGCTCTTCCCTGACTGGATGGTGCCCAGGTGTCTGTGCCCACCCTCCCCCGGGTCCCTCTGTGGTTTTGGGGGAGCTCCTGGAGGTCCTGGTTAATCTCAGTGGAGAAAAAGGAAGACTTTTTAACACGATGGAAATTTCTGTGGGATGGAAAGAACATTTCAGGGCCTCATTTCCCCCTTTTTTTTTGAGAGGCCTGGGGAGGTATTTGGGGGATTTTTCCCGTCCTTTGATGAAACTCTGCCTCAATCCCTGCCCTCACACAGCCACACACGTGCAATGAATCAAAGTTTCACCCTCCCAGAAGGCAAAGTTTTCTTATGCCTGCTGTCCCCCAGGGAGATATATATTTTTTAAGCCACAAACACCTGAGATATCCACAATGGGAAAAGCTGCTCGTGTCCCTTTAGCCGACCATGGAACCCCCACACAAGTGGGTGGGAGAGAACAGGACCCAGGGAGAGCAGGGGGCTGGAATCTGGTGTGACTTTAAGGAGACTGTGTTCCCAGAAAAAAAAAAAAAAAGAGGGATTTCAGAGCCTGGGAATGCTGGATGAGTACTTGACACTGCAATTTCCTGTCAGTGAAACTCCGGAGAGGAACCCAAAGCCGGGTGGTTTTGCTCCCGAAAATCCCCCCGTTATTGCGCGGGGGCCGCCCGGGGCGCTCCCTCCCCTCCCCAGCCCCAAATACAGAAGGAAATCGGGAGCCTGGAATATTCCGGGAGGAATTTCTTCAGGCGTTAAGTCATGTTCTCAATAACCTCCCCCCCTCCCGGGGCTGCGCCTGCTGCCAACATCTGCAGCGAGCAGAGGAGGAATGCGTGGAATGGGAGCTCAGCTGAGTGTGAAGGCAGGAACAACCCTCGTCTCTGACTCCGAGGGCTCCTCTCCCCTTACAAACCCTCCAGCAATGCGGAACGGGCCCTCCTCCCGCCCCACACCCGCCAGCTCCCGGCTGGAAGGTGCAGGGACCCGGCCCAGCGGCTGCGGGGTTGGGAAAGGGGCCGGGGCCGGGTTTGCGGAGGGACAAAGGGCCCCAGCTCTGGGGCAGAGGGAGGTGCTGCTCCGGGGCTCGGGATGCAGCAAAGTCCGGCTTTTATCCACCCCCCCCAGCAGCAGGTAAAATCTGGCAGCAGAAGGAAAAGCAGCGTTCTCTCAGGGATCCCCGTCCCAGCCCCTCTGGTGCTGCCGAGGTTCCCCCCCCGGGCCCCACTCGGTGTTTAACCGGGAGAGCTGATCCAGGGGGATGCTGGAAAAGGGGGCTGCAGGGGGGGGTGTCCTATTCCAAACTGGGAAATTTGGGGAAGTAAAACAGAACCCCAGGACAGGCTGAGTGGGAAGGGACCCACCAGGATCATCCAAGTCCTGCTCTTGACCCTGCAGGTCCCAAATATCAGCGGGAGGGGTTTGAGCTTCGATCCTTTGGGAGGGAGAGGGGACGTGGCTGCTGGTGTTGAATGCTGGAAGGCACCCCCTGCATCCACGGGGATGGGGAGCACGTAGCTCCCCGGGGCAAATCCAGCCTCTGTGGAGAGATCCACGAGCCCTGGGAATGGTGAGAGATTGGAAAACCGGGATGAGGCACCTCTGTGTCCCCCAGCACGAGCGGCAGCCCCTGGGGAGGGTCCCTGATCCAGGTGTGTGTGGGGTGGTCCCAGCCAGGCTCTTCCCTGCCCGGATGGTGCCTTTGGGAGGGAGAGCCGCTGTTTGACGGGAATGTTGCACAAACCAACGCCAGACACTCTCTGTCTGGGCTCTTGTGCAGCGCCCAGAGCAGCCCCTACCAATTAATAATGCCATCAATAATTCCCGGCGGGCAGCCACATCCAGCTGGCACGCCCGGAGCATCCGCTGCTCGTGCCGGCAGCGCTGGCATTTCATCCCTCGGCTGATCCCTCGGCTGCCAGGGAATCAAAGAGCTCCCTTTTCCCGTGTGGCTGCGCTCGCACAATGCCGGCCCTTGTGCCGGGCGGGAATTCGCGGCCCCTTGCCCCCGGCCCAGGGGCTGGCGGGGGGACGCGGCTCACAATGGGCCCGGGCTCTGCTCCATCCCGCTGCCTTCCATCTGCCGGGATTATTTATGGGGAGCGATTCCCGAGGATAAGGGGAGGCAGAGCCAAGGACCCGCAGAATTGAGCCCCGGCGGCTTCTTGGCTGCGTTTTCCCGTCGCTGTTCTCACTCCGGGTCTGTTTTCTCCTCGCGTTTCGGGCTCGTGGGGATCAGTCCGGACACGTTCGGTTCCTCTGGAGGAGAGGAGGAGAGGAACGAGAGGCCGGAGTTTTTCTTTTCCCTCAGAAATCACGCGGAGCTGCAGCGCGTTCCCAAAAAATCACCTTCAAAGAGCGAGGGGAAAGGGGCGTTCCCAGGGTTTTCCCTGGCAGGGAAGGTTTCACCTCTGCCACCTGCCGGCACCTGCGAGGATCCCGCCTGGAATTGTGTACTCGACAAACGCGGGAGAATTCCTAACAAACAAACAAACAAACAAACAAACAAACAAACTTCCAAGCGAATCGTTCCGGCTCGTTCCCGGCGGAATCGGGTGGGGGCGGCTGAGATAAATCGCTCCCTCTTCAGCTGTTCTGACGCTTCCAGAGCTGAACGTGGCTCCCCTTCCAGCCAAACCCCGGTCCCGAAGGAAGACTGAAACCTTCGGGAAGGGATTCCTGGGGCGGAGAAAGCGGCTCTTTAATGACCTGAAGGAAACAGCCCCGTCGGAAACAGCCCCCGGACAGTAAGTGCTTTTTATTCCCATCACGTGCCTTTGTTTTGAAGGCAACAGAGCAGAAAATCCAACCCCTTTCTAAAGCAGGAAACATTTATACATTTAATGAACCAGTGACTTAATTTAATGTGCATTTAACGGGTGTCTTCAACTTGCCAAAGTCCTGTGGAGGCCAAAACACTTCAACAGTTGTTACCTGGGGCAAGGGGGAGGGATTTGGGAGTTCCTTCTGCTTTATGAAAACCTGGAGGTTGAGGGGGGAAAAAAAATGCCTTGCTTGGTCAAAGCACTTGAACTGCTTTCAGGAATCATCTCTGGCTGTGGCTGAGCATCCAAAGTCAGGAATATTTCTGCCACAGAACCTCTGAGTCAGTGAGAGAGGCCCCGGCAAGCTGGAGAAGTGTAGCTGTGCTCCTCTGACCCCATCCATCTCTTCCTCCTCGGATTCCCGAGGGAAAACACATTTTAAAGATCAACATGTTTTGGGTTCTGAACTAAGATAACATTCCTCAGTTGGTGTCTGAGAATGGAAACCATGTCATTTTTATTGTGTGTGCAGACATGCACAGTGGGAAAAGAATGAAGTTCGTGTTCCCAAGGGAGAGGCCCCAGGCTGCTTCCCTGGAGAAGCAGAGCTCAAGGAACCCCGTGATGGAGTCCCCAAAAGCTCCTGGAGCTCCTTCAGCTGGACTGACATGGATGGTCCCAACTTCTGCCACTCCAGCTGGGATGGGAATCGAAGAAATAACTGGGCACCTCTTTGCAAATGTTCACAACCAAACCCAGGAGCCAGAGTCTGCAGAGCTCAGGTGGTGTTGGGGCTGCTCCTCATGGCCAGGAACAGGATTTCCTTGTGGAAGTTTGCCTGGGCGTTCACCAGGTGGAATAAATTCAGGAAGGTGTTGTCCTCCTCATCGTGCCCCCCTGGCAGGGTAAAGGAAACCATGGAACATGGTCAGTGGAACCAAACCAGTCAGTTAATCCCTCAGGGTGGATGTCCCTTAGCAGCAGCTTCACCTCAGCTCTGTGCTGTGATTCATGATCCTGATGCCAGGACAGCTGGGAAGGGACACAGGAGAACTCTCTCCAAAATTCCTTCCCCAGCCTGCCCAAAGGCAACAAGAACAACTGTGTGTTGGGACAAAAACCTGTCAGAGCTGAGCAGGAGGTTTGGGCACAGCCCAAAGGGACCTCGGGCCCAGGACGGGGTTTAGAACAGTGTTGGTGGCACCACCCCTGGCACCAGGAAACCCTCAGCAGGAGAAACCTGTTAAAATCAAGGTTTCTGCCCAATTATGGCACTTGATTGATTATTTGTGTTGCTCAGAGAAGCTGTGGCTGCTCCAGCCCTGGAAGTGTTCCAGGCCAGCTTGGAGCAACCTGGGCTAGTGGAAGGTGTCCCTTCCCGTGGCAGGGGGTGGGACTGGAGGAGCTTTAAGACCCTTCCAACCCAAACCTGGTGGGGATACAATGGTTCTGTGGTTTTATGTCACCAAAACCCTTCAGGCTCTCCAGGATTGCTCTGCCTGGTGAGGGAGGGAAGGGCAGAGAGTTCCTCCATGCCATGGTCAGCCCCAGCTCCTGATCCAAGAGCTGCTCCAGGCCCAGAGGGCGAGTCTTACCAGCCAGCACTGCCTGCAGCATGTCCATGAGCATGTGGGCAAAGGTGTTCTCCAGGCACTGCAGGAAGTTGTTTCTCTCCCAGGGAGTGCTGAAAACCCTGCAGACCTTCTGCATCATTTTCACCACCCAGTCCATGCAGTAAAGGTCCTTCTCACACACCTGAGGGGCACGGGAAGGGTCAAAAATGCACCACGAGCCTGAGGCAAAGTCAAATCTGAGCATTAAATGTTGATTCTGCAGCGGTTGTGCCGCGGCCTGGAAAATTAGGGGGGTGTCAGGAGGGCACAGAGGTTGTTCTTGTGGGCATGAAGGGACCCCTCAGCCTTTTGCTGGTGGTATTTCCCCTCAAGGACGGGCTTGCCAGCTTCCAGGGATGTGCTGGACAAGGATCAGAAGGTGGAAGAGCACCCAGATTTTTGCTGGGCTTGCTCCTGGTGTGTGGGAGCAGAGGGGGAAAGTCTGAGACAGCAAATTTGGGGGGTAGAGAGGCTCTGCTCAGCTGTACTCACCAAAGCCATGAAGACCACGAGCCTGGCCAGCTCCACAGCCCTGCCATTCACAGCCTTGCTGGCCATGAAGGTGAAGCAGATGTTGTTCCCACTGAGGAGGAGGAGCCGAGCGTTGTTCTCCATGAGCCATTCCTGGGGAACAACTTGGTGGTGGAAGAGAGAGAGAGAGGGGAGATTTCAGTCATCTTTGACCCAAAAGAGGAGCAGCAAAATCCCACAGGCAGCTCCTGCCAGCTCCTCACTCTAATTGGTGATAAGCTCCCCCCCAGCTGTCAGTGGAGCTGTTAACTGTGGCTTGGACAAATCCTGGGTTTTCAGCTTGGACAATTTTTCCCGAATGATTCGAGGCAAGGCTGGAGTTTTAAAGGTCTGTAGGGATTCTTAAATGATTTCCCCACAGGGAACAGGCAGCCTGAGTGTGACCCTGGGGTTCCCTCATCCCACCTGCTGCCTGCATTCCCGGGGTGAGGGCTTTTCCAGCCAGGCCAGAGCTACCACTGGGAGGAATTTCGCAGCCTGTTTGCACCCAGGTGTCTGAAACACCCCCTCGAGCTGGATTTGGAGGATACATAATCCTGTGGATTAATGACAGAGGCAAAAACCACACCTGACAGCTCATCCACGAGGCTGATAACATCATCTGCTGTCCATTCCCTGGCTTCTGTGTCATACAGCAGCTTAATTGCTTCAGCTAAACCCTTCAGACTGCTCTCATCTGTTGGTCCTTCTATCATTTTCTGCCACACCACGTGTCCTGAGCGAGACATTAATCACAACTGCCCCTAAGTGACGGGGTTTTTTTCCAACAAGGGAGTTGCTGAACTGAGCAGGGGAATCCAGGCAACACAGCTCAGGCTCTGTGACAGCCACCTTGTTGTTGTCCCTCTGTCACTTTTTAGCAGGGACAGTGGGAGCTGCAGCGTGAATCAGATGGAAAGGAACCCAGGGCTAACAATTAAGGGAGGGAACACGTTTTCCCTCAGGGAAAGGGGTAATGGTTTGAGGTGGTTTTGGGCTGCCTCTGCCCCAAGCAGGGGAGAAGAGGGGGACAGAGGTGTCACTTAATTCCTTCACTTGAATTTTAACTCAGAAATATATGTATGTGTGTGTCTGTGTGTGTACATATATATATATATATATATATAAAATGAATATATTTTATGTATGACAGTGCTGTCTGGTTGAGCAGAACCTTTTTGCTAGGCAACACAATTGTTTCAAAGGCTTCACACTGCCAGAGGGCAGGGTTAGATGGGATATTGGGAAGAAATTCCTTCCCTGTGAGGGTGGGGAGGCCCTGGCACAGGTTGCCCAGAGAAGCTGTGGCTGCCCCTGGATCCCTGGGAGTGTCCAAGGCCAGGTTGGAGCAACCTGGGATAGTGGAAGGTGTCCCTGCCCATGGCAGGGGGTGGCACTGGATGAGCTTTGAGGCCCCTTCCAGTACAAACTATTCTTTGATTCTAATACACTTACATTTTATTTGCATAAAAAATTGGGTTTCTGCTGCATCCTGCGAGGGAATCTCCTTCTCAGGGCCCCAAACTCTGAACACTGAGCCCCCCAGCTCCTCACCATCCAGAGAGGACACGGGCCCAAAGATGATGTAGAGCAGCCGGGCCTGGTTCACGATGGGCCAGGGCTTCAAAATCCGGGTGAGCCAAAAGGCAGAGTCGCTCCTGTGGATCCAGTGGTTGAGCAGGACCCTCCTGCAGTACAGCCTGATCCTCAGCTCCAGCTTCCTGGCACTGCCTGGGGGAGAAGGGGGGAGATGTGGCAAATCTGTGCAGCCTTGATCGACGCAAATGATCACTTTTTTATAGGAAATCAAAGAGGGCAGTAAATAGGGGCAGCAGGAGGAAGCTTGGCATGGCTGTGGTGGGTGAAGTGTTCCACAGAAATTCCCTGTTCCATGCTGGGCAACAGGAGGGTTTCTTGAGAGGCCTGTGCCACCTCAGTGTTGGGGTTCAGAAATGCTAAACCTCACTTTTTACTGCAGCATTTTATTCCCAGACTGGTTCCTTTCCCGTTGGTTTCACTGGTGGAGAGCGGGAAAGATTCAAATCCCTGCTTTTGCTGCCGATGTAGAGACACACAGCCTGTGCTTTGGACTGGTGATGGAATGATCCAGGAAACCCCAAAGGCCTCTCAAGACAACTCTCCTCACTACAGGAGCACTTAGCCTTGGTTTTGGTGAAGAAAAAAACTAGCTGTGCTCGTTGATGTGAAGGCCAAGAACCCACTTCAGGGTGCCCAGAGAGCCAACAGAACGTACGTGAGGGTCAGGAACCGACTGGGGCCACAAGGCTGAGCTGAGCTAAACCCCTCTCAACTCCTGGAATCAAGACCCATTTCCTGCTTTCCCTGTGCTGGCACATTTTGGTCCTTCAGGCCTCTTGGCTGCTGTGATTTACCTGCTCTGCTGCTGACAACTGTCTGCACTTTCCTGGCCAAACTGCTCAGCTCCCAGAGGAAGTTAAAGACCCGGTGGCACTCGAGTTCATCCCAGCCTGCTGTCAGGATCTGAAGGGGACAGAAGGAATGGGGTGAAAAGGAGTGGATTGAGCAGAGATTTAGATCCCAGTGCCAGTCCTCAGAGCAGAGAAACACAATCTGTGCTGCAGCTCCCCCTCCTCAGGTGCTGCACAGGTTGTGCTTGGGCCCAGAGACTCCCGGAATCAAAAGCTGCTCCAAGATTTTTGAACCTTGTGTGGGAATGTACACACAGGTGTTTGCTCCAAAGACAGATGACCCCACACAAATAATCACCTGTTCTTCTTCAAATTTTAAATTTTAATATATATATTTTTTTTAAGATTCATTTTAAGCCACCACAGGTGAACAGAACTGTTCTGGCCTGTGGTGTGTTGAGCCATTTCCTTCGGAACTAAAGCATCTCTGCTCCTGGATTGGGAATTGGAAGCTGTGCAATGAAATGCTGCCCTTCTCCCATGTCTCCTTAGACAATAAACTGCTAATCAAAATCCTGACTGGTTGGGACTGAAATCCAGGCCAGGGAATTCTCAAGAGTCAAATCAGCAGCTTTCACCACCAGAAAGGAAATTCAGAGGACTGTGTGAATAAATACCATCCCCCTACACCCCCAGACCAGCTTATGCTCTAAAAAAATCTCGCAAAGCACAGATTGATTTAGAAAACTGCCTTAATTTTCTTCTATATTTGTGGTACTTGCCTGGTCTCCATAAGGATACTGTACCTGTAAAAACACCCCGTAGCACTTTAACCCCAGGCAGTGCAAAGGGCTGGCACAACCACTGAGCTTGAAACAGGAAACCTGCAAGTGCAAACACCGGGGGTTTATTTATCTTAACTGGCCATAATCGTTGTGACTGAAAATCCTCTGTGCTCCCTGTGTGCCTCAGTGCTGCTCAGGGAGGTCCAGGAGATTCCTTGTGGCGGAAGGAAACGAGTTATGGTTTAGCAACAAGCCAGAACTGTGGTCACAGGGGTGTGCAAAAGGTCTCTGGGGGGAGAAATCTTTGTTTTCAGGGGGTAAAATTTTTGTGAAGAGGATCCCCAGTGGTCCACAAACTGATGGAAAGGTGAGGTGGAATGTGAATGGTGGAATGGTTGGCATGTGAGGTGTGGGCAGAACAGCCTCGTGTGCAGCACACTGGCTTTTGCTGTTGTTGGTGTGAAGAGACTGATTTCAAACCAATACACTGGTTTTTACATTAATACTGATCAGAGAGGTCCAGGAGATTCCTTGTGGTGGAAGGAAATGAGTTATGGTTTAGCAATAAGTCAGAACTGTGGTCACATGGGTGTGCAAAAGGCCTCTGGGAGGAGAAACCTTTGTTTTCAGGGGGTAAAATTCACTGGCTTTTGCTGTCGTTAGTGTGAAGAGACTGATTTCAAACCGACACACTGATTTTTGCAGGGGTGATAAACTCCAGCAAAGGGGACTGCAAAATCCAGCAAGGAATTATCTTGCAGGGGTGGTGTTGTAAGTGCAAAGGAGAGTGAGAAACAGCAGTGGGGGGAAGGTGGAAGGACTTACTTCTGAGAGTACCTTGTGTACGTACTTCAGCCTGTCCCTGGTGGGCAGCAGCAACGTGCACCTCTTCAACAGCAGCCCTGGGACAGGGGGGGGAAACAGGTACAGCTGGGGGTAAACTGTCCCAGCAACTTGTCTGTGGTGTTGTTTAAAGCCCCTGCTACTCCCAGCTGGACTATTAAAACCACTGTTCTGGGCTGGGACTTACAGCTGCTCAAAGAGTTGTTGCCCCTCAGCTCCCAGGCCCCTGTGGAACACTGGATTTCCCCTCAAACCTTCCAAAGGTTTTTTTTTTTTTCAGGAGAGCCACACAAAAAAGCAAATATTCTGAACTGTGTTCGTGTAGAACGCTGCTAGGAGGGAAATCTGTTTTCCTACCCAGGGTGTGTCTGGGATGGCGGAGCCTGGAGTGAGTCGTTGTGGGGGAGCAGCTGGTTGTGGAGAGGAAATTTTTCTGCCCTCCTGATGGAAACTGGGTGAACAGCTTCCACCAGGGTAAAAAAGCATATGTGTACTGGTTGTTAATTAGTCAAGGAATCCACGGAAAAGCATGTGGTTTTCAGGGAGGGGGGAAAAAAGGATACTTTTCTCCTGAATTTCACCTCCTGAAAATACATCATTTTTCCAAGGTCGGAAAGTGCTTTATGAATTTCCCGTGGTTCTGAGCTGACCCCTTCCCTTCTTCAGAAGCAGTTCCTGCAGCACAGCCATCATTTATTCATCGGCCTCAGACGTGACCCAAAGCTCAGTCAAGTCGATTTTTTTTTCTCGACCAGGCCAGACTTTGGAGGGGAATTCCCCGAGGAGCAGCAGCCGCTGGGACGACACAGCTGCACAGTCAGGGTGTGAGGAAAACAGGCTCGAGCAAAAGGCACTTTTTTTTTTTCCCCCTCCAGTTTTTCCTGCTGCAAAGCAAATATTGATTTTTGCACCTGACCTTAACAAAGCCGTTCCTGCTGGGCCCCAGGTATGGCCGAGGATTTTATATTTTTAATATGTGGAGTTTCACTGCCGGAGCTGCTGCAGGGGTGGGTTCACACCTACTTTTAAAGGAGGAGTTGCCATTTTGTGTGAGGTCACTACAAAGCCCAAACTAATTTTTGGTTGTTTGTTGTTTGTTTTTTTTTTTTTTAAAAAAAAGGATTATAAGTTTTCAGGCTTCCTTTTAAAAAGAAAGCACTAAGATTGTTTTAAAAAGGCATTTTAAGATCCCCAAAATCTCCGTGGTTTGCTTACAGTAGGAGACTTCAGGTCTAAATGAGTTTAACAGCTTTCCTTTACCATGTGTAATTTAACGTCTTTAATGCCTTTATTTAATGTCTCGAGTTCCAACCCTGTTTATAATTCTCCATCTAACCATGGCACCACTTGATTTCTCTGTCCAACACATTTTTGTATCAGGCAGGGACCAGTAAATCCGGATCAAATGCTGTTTTAATTTCATTTGCTCCTCCGACAGGACAGTGTGGAATGAATTTAGTGTTCTAAAAGCCAGCAACAGTGTCACAAAGGGCAGCTGGTGCTGGTCCCTCCAGAAATGAATCCTGGGGCTGCATTTCCCAGCCTGAGGAATGTGAGCTGCTCCAAAGGGATGCCCGGAGGGGGGGGGCTGAGCAGCCAAATTCCTTTGGCTGGCCGGGCCTGGGAGCCTCTTCCAGCGGTGGTGTCCGAACGAACTAAATCTGGAAACGCCTCCAGCTGGGAACTGCCCCTCCGCCGCCTCGCAGGGAGCCACAAACACACGGCAGGCAGGACAGACAGCGGTTTTTCCCCACAACTAAGGGGGTTTGGAATGATTTCAGCAATCCCCCCCTCCAGCTCGTGGCGTTGCAGTGGGTTATTCGGCTCCGAGCTCAGAGGGAGCTGCACAAAAGGGCGTTTGGGGGCCCTGCCCTCACCTAGAGATTTGTAGTGCTCCAGGATGGAGGCTCCCTCTCTCCTGCCGGGCAGCTCCAGGTTGTGGAAGTCCTGCAGGAGGAGCCGGCGGGTCCCTGCCGAGGTGGAGATGTAGTGGATCAGCTGCTGGCCCAGGCTTTTGGACACCATGCTCAGCGTGCTGATGTCCTTCACTGCAAAAGCAAAGCCCGGGACGCTCCTAAAGCCTCAAATTCCAATCACGGGTCAAAAACTGCCCCCCCCCCCTTCAAAAACAAACCGAGGAGTGAGATGGGTAAATAAAACACAAATTAATTACTGTGGGTCTCCTCTGCCAGCAAGCTGTTGTAATTAGAGATGGAGACACCCACAGAATGGTTTTTTCTACACCTCGTGGGCAAAAGCCGCTTCAAATGCTTCCTATTCGTAATTTAAATTTTGATTTATTTTTTTTTTTT